TTTTTCTATCTCCTGTGAAACATTACATACCAAATATTATCGAATTTGGAACGCCGGGCACATTGAGTTACTGAAAATGACAAATAAAGAAAGCGAGAGAAAATTAGACTGAAAAAAGAGAAAGAAGAAATTTTTAAAAATTTAATATAAATGTTAATAAGTAAACAGAAAAGTCATACTTGTGAGACTGGCCGAAGAATAAATCATCCAAAGTTTTTTGTTCGAAACAACAAAGTTTAAAATTACATACTGAAAATTGTATGATATAAAGTATTTACCAAATTGGCGTTGCATAATCTTCATTTGTATTTAACACATTGTGTAAAAAAGAATCGAATTTAGTATACATAAACTTTTATTTATTACGAATTGTTCCATTATACTCATCATAGTGTGAATAATACTAAACAGTAATTAGTAATTTAGATGGCAACGTCCTTTTGTATAAAACGATATTTGAACTTACTTTTTAAGAATTTAACTTGACTGCAATCGATGCTTGGGATACTCGCTGTTTATTTTCTAACATAAATATACACTGCGGAAAAGATATATTTTTGACATAAATATCTACCTGTCTGATATGGGTTTAGAGATTCTAGACAAAATTCAAAGCAGAAGCTGCAATGTTATCGGTCCTGTCTTGGCATCGCGATTTTAATCCCGCCCTAACGTAGACCTTTTCTATAAATATTTACATGGCAATTGTTCTGATGAGCTTCCTTAATTGGTTAAACGACTTCATGAATTTAGGCGTAGTACCTGATTGGTAGTTAGGTCTCATCATTTTACGTATGCTATTGCTATATGTAACCATAATATCTAATCTTATAGCTTTTCTCGTAGTTCTTTCAGTTTCTCGCTTTCCTGTCAATTACTATTGTAAAAATTTAAATATCAGTGTCAGTCGTCATCTTAAATCTACTTCAATCATGTCCTTTTATTATAGCCCTCCATTTTCAGTCAGCCTTTACGTCTTTAATGTCATGTTTAGCGTGAAATGATTAAAAAGAGATTTGAATCATAATATGATACAACCCAAAGTAAGGTTAGGTCGGTCAATTCAACAATATGTCAACACATTTTATATTATTTAATTTTGTTATAACAATGTTCACCCAATGCAAGGCCCAAGAGACACTCAAAACAAAGGATTATTGTGTGGTGTTGTATAAGGGTAAGAACAAGAAAGACATGAATCTCATGGGGTTAAGCATGGAAAATAACACCCTAGACTTATAGAGGGGTAGATAATAATTTGGAGGAAAAACTCTTGCCGCCAGTCTGTTCCATAAAGCAAGAGTTCATGAGAAGCTGCTGCTCGGGTAGAACTTACTTCTTACTAAGGAAATAAGAAAAGAATGGAGGGAATTCATCCTTGTGTACTCAGCATGGCGTGTCTCAGCTGTAATGGTCAGGTCTGTTGAAACCAAAGAATTTATCTCGTCAGGTGACTTGCAAAGGAAATAGCGATATAGTAAGAAGAGGCTCACGTCGTTTTGTCTTCAGGATAGGAGTTGTAGGATTGTAAATAATTTATGTCCCATAAATCCGAGTAGACGCATTTTATCTCCATCAAGACAGGCGAGTGAGAACTGATTACTTCTAACCAAGATATGACAGCAATGCTCCATTTTTGTTTTGTATCTGGCTCTTGTAAAGATAGACTATATCAGAAGGGGCCTGGTACATACTGGAGCGTTACAATGAACCGGCAATGTCGAGTATTTATACTACAGAACAATAGAAGAAAAAGACACAAAATTTTGGTTTAAGCAAAATTAATATAGATAGTCATATGTTTGGTTCACGCTGTATTCGCTAAGATAGACATAGGTCCGGTTTGCATTTAAAAGTCGAAAAAAGGACAGAGGTTGGGTTTCCACATCCAATTTTTAATTATTTCACCCCAAGAAAGGCAATAAAGCCACCAGTTTGGGTTCTGAGTGTTAGGGAATATATACAAAAACACTCTTAAGGATAGAGGACAATAAAAGAACAAGATTTAAGACTGAAGATAGCGATTGACATTTTATTTAATTTTTTAAAGATCAAAGGCAATAAAGTCACTAAGACGCAAGAGGTTATCGACTGTGAGAGAAGAGGAGAAAAATTACTGTTCAGGAGAGGGGACAATAAAAAAACAAGAATTAAGAAGACAGAAAATAACGATTGACATTGCTTTCACGCTTTTGAAGATCAAAGTTGGTTGGGAAGCAAGAAATCAAAAGAGAGTTCCACAAGCGAGAAGTGCGACAGAAGAGACTGCTAGCATAGAACTTTCAGTTATATCTAGCCATTTCAACTGTAAAATGATGAGACCTTAACGCCAATCTAGTACTGCGCTTCAAATTCATAAAGTCTAGAGACCATAACGTAAAGTTCATCGGAACAATTACCTGAAATTGTTTATAGAAAAGGCACAGGGAGGCTACGTTACTGCGGTGCAGAAGGGACTGAAGTCGAAATACCAAGTCAGGAGCAATAGCATTGGAGAATA